TATTTAGAAATACCAACAAATTCAATATAGTGTAAATAATATGTACTATTTTAGTTTTTCAAAGAAATGTTTATTTGTTAAAAGAAAACTTATGCCAAGAGCTGAGCTTTTACCCCCAACCTCCAGCATGTGAGTCACACACCAAACCCATCACACCAATGTGCCGCTTAACAACTTAAGCTACAGTATTGCTGAAAAGTGCAGGCAAAATGTTTACAAATAATCGCGGGTGAATGATGTTTACAGATATTTACAAAGAAAGTGTACTAAGATAATAATTTGAGCTATATGAATATAATTAAATCCTTAAATATCGTTATTAATTTTTTTTGATACTTTATGCGATTCCATATAATATTCCCTATTAATCAAATTCTAAAAAGTATAGTTTTTTTACTGCGATAACTTTTTATAAAGTATATAAACTTACAGTAATATAGACAGGAGGAGCACATAAAAACTTTTCCAAAACTTACCACAGTAAAGTAACCGAATGAAAGACTTTGATGCTTTAAATGTTTATGAGTTTATGAAGAAAGTGACATACTGGTGTGTATTTGTATTTAAACTACTGAAGAAAGATACAAGATGTGAAGAAGGGGTTAACTGATTCCTTTCTGCATGAGGACTGGACTTCTAAGTAAGAGGCTAGAGTTATGGCAGGAAAGGGGGACAACTGATAAGGATTCCAGATGCCAGCTAGGAAACCTCCCAGGGAAGGTAATCTAACACTGACCCTTTGGCCAAAGTCTGTAAACTGGCCGAACACCTTGACCTCTCCCCATTACCATAGTACTGAGCTACATCAGAAGTGGCAGAAAAGGGCTATATAAACTGGATGTTTTTTACTAGCACTTTGAACAATACTTCGGTTTTGTCTTCTTTGAGGGAACAAGACTTTGGTTTTATTGTTCCTTGCATGCAATAAAACTCATCTGTTTAACTTCATCTCGGGATCCAGAACTTTGCAGAAATTTGAATGGCTGCATCTGTAGAATATTTTAACTGGGCACATCTAGACTATATTGAATTATTTCATTCACCTAAAATACACAGTGCACACTCTCTCAGTGAAGTTGTTAATACTTATGAAGAAGATAAGAGAGATGCCCAGGAAGTGAGATAATAATATAATTTTCTTGTTTTTGTATGTTTTTGCAAACTATGCAGTCTAGTGGCTTGACGTAGGCTTTGTGCTCAAATATATATATATAAAGATGTTGCCTGTCCTTGGTCACCAAGATAAGGGGCATCTATTTGGTAAGCTGGCTGTATGCCCAGAATATGAAAAGGACTGTTATCTAGTCTGCAACTCAGATATAATTAATTGGCAGGTGTTGCTGTTTTATCATTTGTTTAGAATATGTCATAGTAACTCTTTGTGTTTTAAGGTATAAAGGACCATCTTCAGCTACTTATTTTTTTAAGTATGGTGGTTGCGAGCCGGACTTCCATATGCACATGAATAAAGAGACTTCTGCTTCACAGACACCTGAACTTTGTCATTTGTTTGACACTACACTAATGACATAATTAATGAATAATTAAATTGACTGCAAATCTGCAAATTAAGTGCCAGCTCCAAAGAAGCTCAAAACAACAATAACATAGTCAATTAGGGAAAGCCAATCTGAATTTCAGTATAGGTACCCAGCTGCTTGTGTGATGCACACTTCTAAAATAGTATTTTTAAACAATTTTCATGTTTAGTTTCCAATAATCTTTGGTTTAACTTTTTTATAGGAAAATTATCTTCCATCAGATGGTGTGAGTGATGCTTATTTTCAACCAAAATAAATTGGTTGACACCATCTTGAGGTGAAGCATAATAACTTAAATAAAGTTAATCTCTGTATATTTTCAGGTAAATACTTCAATGTAATGTACAGTATGATACATAAATACATTACAATTATTTTTAGTCAGTTGTATAATTTACGTTTGTACTCTGATTACAAAGAGAACTGTTGCATTCAAAAACTACATGCTTGTAATCAATAAACTTTTTTTTTAAAATTTGGTAAGCCTTCCATAAAGATTATGTAAAATGTTTAGATTTCTACAGTACTAATCAGTATTTTCTTTTCCATATTTTGAATTAAGTTTTATTAATAATATGTAAACATTAGAGAAAAAAAACAGAGCCTAGAAACTGGTAATATTTCTGGTGAACTATCTAAGGGTACTGAGTGAAAAAGTCAGAATACTGTAAATCATGTCATTCACTAATGTTAGTTAAGTTGATAAAGATTTCTGTTTTGTCCACTATCAAATGCTAGTTAAATTTTTGACAAACAAAAAATAAATGAAAAAATCCAAAATTAGTCCATATTAGTTTTACTAATATTAGTCCAAATTTTGTTTTTACTCTTTTGCTCCACCTAGTGGTGAACATTTAATCAGTTACAAGCTGAAACTGGAAGATCCTTTTTTACCTGTTTCATCAGTCTATGGAGATACATTTCTAATGAGTGCTTGTTAAATATTTTGACAACAACTTCTTAATTGTTATATATGGCACGATAAACAGATCCAAATCCACCTTCACTAAGTGGGGCAAACAAAGCACAGATCTTATATATTAATATTCAATCTAGACAAAATACCAGTTCACATTAAAAAAAAAAGAATCAGATCTAGAGCTATCTGGGAAATGGAAATTGGTCAGGTTAGGTATACTGAGTTAAAATGCACTCTAAGAACAGAGAAATCAATTAAAACTTTTATTTTGCTCCCCACAACATTCAATACATAAAATCTATTAGAAAATTCCCTCCTTTAAGAAGTCTCAACAGTAAATCAAAATAAATCAGAGACAGGTGTATTGAAAAGCACCAATTATTAGAGGAATGGTGTAAGAAAATTTCCAAGGCATTATATATCTCTCAAAGTACAGTAAAGTCAATTATAAAAAATGTAGAGAATATGGGAAAACTGTGAAACTATGAAGAACATAAAATGAGTATCCAAGCAAAAAGAGTACCAATGAGTCTCGAATAAGAATGAAATAGCAATTTTTCACCTTGATTGTTCTTTTCTCTACTGAGTTGTTGCTGAAAAACATTCAGAGAACTAAGGAATACCTAAAATGCAAAAGATATTTCAGCACCCCTATCTATAGGTCTAGGGTAAGTGTTAGAGAATCACTGATCCTAAATGTTAATAAATGTGGTGAATGTATTCTTAGTCCAAGTAAAATTAACGTTTTAATGGAAACTTTGAGTTTCTTTGACATTTTTTTTTACTATTTCATTTGAGACATTAGGCAGTAGACTATACACTGCTCCAGTTGTGTCCATAAAGACATTGAAACTCCCTTAATTTGGCCCATTTAAAGAAATTGGTCAGCTTCTTTTCATTCTAGCTTTGGTAGAAATGCGAAGCTTTACCCTAAGAAGACCCTCCCTCCTACACTACTCTACTATTCCAAAACAAGAACAAAACGGCACTCCTACGCCTTGATTGTTGTGTTCTCTACTGATTTGTTAATGAAACACATTCTAAACACATTCTCACACCCAAAGACCACTAGGTCAACCACTAGGTCAAATCACAGAGAGGGGGTGCTTTCACTACATTCCTGTGACAGGCAACAGGCTGCTTGGTCCAGGGTCACAAAGACCAATATCACTTTAATTCTAAGTGAAATAATAGGCCTTTTCTCTATAAATGATAGGCTACATTTTTAAGAGAAAATATACATCCTTTATTCATTACTACTGTAGCTCAGAACTGTAAAAAAATAATGGTAGTAATTTGGTATTTTTAGGAATTTTTCATAATATGCAGTGAAACAGGATTGCTGTAATTGTTTCAAAATGGTAGAGTGTGCAGAGTATTTAACTATGGAAAGTTTAAAAAGGGAAGGTGAACCTCAATATTGTGTATGTTGAAGTTGATTAGATGGGCATTGAAGTAATAGCTATGTATTTATTGAATATTAATAAAACCTATCCAAGAGGCAATCCAGATAGGAGCAATACCCATTCTAGTTTATTTGAAAGGTAGAAAATGAAGTACAAAACAGGCTGATGCAATTGTAGAGATGTGACCTGGCAGAAGCACCTGAAGCCTCCTAGGTGAGGACTGACAGAAGGCTTCAAAGCTGCTTCAAAGCTGCTCAGGAAGAACAGACTATTGGCCAGAGTCATCTGGTGGGTGACTGGAAACTAAACAAGACTGCCAGCACCGGGAAGAGAAAGGAAGCAGAACAGGACTGGAAAACGGAACTCGCAGATCAGGATAGAGAGTGGATGACACTGCGCTGCAGGGCTTAAATACAGCACTAATCAAGGTTAGCGAACAGCAAGTGGTTGGGACAGCCTGCCCAATCTGGGTGGTGTTGAGCTTCTTGTGCGAATGTGACCAGTATCCAAGGAGACAGAGAGCTGAGAACTATAATCTGCGTAGGCGTAACACTTTCTTTCTAATGATCTTCTCGCTGCTGAGAAGGAACTGAGGATAGAATTGTCTCTCTCCCAAAACATCACAGTAATAATGAAAATGATGGGTGTTTTGCGTCAAGTACATACAAGTATGAACAGCATTAAAATAGAATTCAACTATTAAAAAGTTATATGGGTTAAATCTAACTCTTTCAATAATTTTCTTATTTTCTTGTGTTCTTAAAAGGTACTTTTATGGCTCATAACAAAACACAAACATTTTCATCTCTATTTTTTTCCCCAAATCAGAAAAATATTAGTTTTCCAACACATTTATGAACAAAATCACAAATAAAAGTTAAAACAAATGTGTTAATGTCATCTTAAAAAGATTGTTTATAACTGTAGTATAGATTGACCTTAATGCTTTCCAGCAATTGAATGCACTAACTTCAATATACTGTACAGACACGGTAAATGATGCAATAAAATATTTTATTTTAATTTTGAAAGAAATAGTTATACAGTAGTTCAACTAAAATAGATTCTCCATGAGGGTGTTTGTGATTTAAAGATCCAATAGAACAAATTTAAACAACACCTGAATAAATGTTCAAGTGTGTTTTGAACAAGTTAATGAACCTTTAGCTTTTAAATGAACAAATTATTCATTACAATTATCCCAGAGTACAAGAACAGTCAAACTTTTTGTATGAATTACATATAGGTGAAAGCTGTTGATAAAATGTATTGACAGACTGAAAATTACAGTGAATTTACCTATTCCATTTTTTAAGATTTGCATATTAAATGTACTGTAATCAAGTTATAGTAGGAAATATACAATTCTAGAAAAATAAACCACTAGAAACCCATTTAGAAAACTTGTAAATTTAAAGTTGAAGCATATGGAAAATCATTATTTCAGAAGTTGTATTATGACGTGGATGTACTCTAAGTACAAGCTAAACACTTACAACCAGTTATATACTTGTAGCTATACAATTTAGGAGTATTAAGATCACAATTCAGAGTTGCATTTCTTGTTTGGATGCTAGTTTCAAGACAACAGTGACATGTTTGCTTCATTCTGAAAATACCTCCAACACTTTCCAACCTATATTGAAAAGAGATAAATAAAATGATTAACTTTTTCACCTCCCATTATAACAGAATACAACACATGAACTGCAAGGAAGCCACTGTTATAAGACCTACTGAGAATAAGATCCTAGCTTTTGAGGATGTAAGAAAGAATATGGGCTACTGCTAAATGTCAAATCCACTGTCATTTAAATTTTGGCATTCTTTAAACTATGCATAACTGCTTTTTACATTACTTTGATAAATTTACATTAAATTGATTTTCCATACCCATTCCTTATCCACCAAAAACAAGTCCTGGGTCTGTGCTGCTGTGAATCTGGACATGGTGGTTTGATAAGGAATCGGGATAGAGCTAAGACGGTACAATGAGCAAATCAAATAACATGCAATACTATCCCCCACCTTTAGTGACTTGTCTATACACATCTTTAAATGACCAGTTATACATGACATATTCCATCATTTTGTGTTGTTGGAGCTACTGGTATATTGGATATGGTATGTTGCTTAAGCAGAAATTGTCTGTTAGATGATGACATACAATATAATGTTGAAATCAAAGAATATTGCAAAAGGTAATGTAGGAAATGTTGCCTTTACCCAAATACTAAAAATCAGCCGATTATAATAAATTCAAGTGTCATGGTACTGTACTTTCTACCTCCTAGCATGAAATGGTATTAAAATTATTAACAACAGAAATTTAAATACTGTACAGTATGTAGAGGGTTTCACTGTACTGTGATTTAAAAGGTTCTACAAACTGTATGGTCTATGTTGTGCATAATAAGCACAAAGCTTTTTACCATTTTTCTTTCAGATAAAATTAATATTTAATAATACTCAATCTATCATAGAATTTTCTAATACAGAACAATAGATATTCGGAAGAAATTTCATTTTCTTGTTCAGTATCTAGGTTTTAAAAAGAATGACCATAAACATTTTTATACTGAAATATTTTATGGAATTTTAAACAGATACAGATACTGTATGAATTGAATGCACTTCCCCAACTACAGTATAAAAAGTTGCATTGGATTCTTCTTTTATATTCAACAAAATACTTGTATTATTTAATGTGTTTGATATCAATTCAGATTGACCTGGTTTTGAATATGGCTAAACACAGTGTTCTGTATGAAGCAAAAGTAAAAGCAGTAGCTTACTGAGGCTGAGATTCACAATGGCCTTCACATGAAGTCATTTCCACCTGACCGATGCAGTTATCAACAGTTACATCCACAGTGGACTTCTTTGGATAACATGTTTCATTGCCTATAACAAGAGTACAATTGTTAATGCAGGTAATGTGTAATATGTATTTATCTCACTTTGTTTTTGCTTTATTACTTATGTAACCGTTCATCAGTCTCAACTTACACATGTAGCAGCACTTGTCACTATCCAAAATTCGTTGGTCCTAGAAACAAACAAATTCATTAATACATCCCATACTCTTATTTGAAAGCCATTTTAAGAGAAGGATTATGAAGTTTATTACCTCAGGGCAGTTTTGTGCTGGGCACATTTTCGTTTTCGTAGTAATACCGGACTTTTGACAGACGTAAGAATTACATGGTTTAGAATAATCTTTCCATTCATCTCCAACCTATATTTAGGGAATAATTAATAATGTCTATTAAGCATTTTATATAAGCTATTACACATTTTCAGAGAGATATCACTTTTTTATAGAAACTACTTCTACTTTGTCCATTTGTCATTTTCTGCCAAATCTGTTTGGATAAATACAGTTGGATATACTGTATTTGAAATGGTTTAACCCAAAACATGATTGACAGATAGAATCTACAAAGAGTAGTGTAACGTTTTAATAATAGTGGATGACTGATAACGTAAAATATGTTGCTTTTTACAGTGGGTGATTTTAAATATCCCTATAAAGTAATTCATCATCGGTCATCATTAAGTCACACAAAAGGCAATGCAAAGCACCTTTTACATATGAATGAAAATAAGTTTTATGTAACTCAATGCTGTACCTTATATTTGACTCCTCCATACTCACAAGTCTTCTCAACTACAAAGAATTTAAACAGATAATTGATTGAATTTTGGGGATTAAGTTTATTGGATGCATTTTAACTGTACTTTATTGTAATTCTCTTTTACACGCAATATTACAGTGTCTTTTAAATGACAAGCTTTAGGTGGTGCTAACAAGCTCTGTGTTAATTGTAGTATTCTCCAGACAAGAAATGGAATATTATGCTTTTTGTCAAGATACACATACTGTATGCAATGGCGCTCTGTATTTTATCTGCCTAGTGTCCTGCTTCTACTGCTACATCCCCTTGTATAGGAACCAGACACATGCTATAGCAGCACAAACAGACTGGGGACATAGGCATGACAGGCCAAAGAGCAGATAATTGTCAAAACATTAATTGTAAGCATTTGTAAAAAATGATAGCCTGCCTATGTCACACTATCAGTAAACTTTTCTGCATTACATTTTAACAATGTTCACAATACTTACCACAGTACTGCATCTGGCAGCAGCCAGTAGCATTGTATGTCACCAATATTTCATTGTCTTTGCAGGCTGGAGGTGATTTAATTTCTTTAGGTGTACATTCTTCTGTATTTGTGATGTTGCTACAGGTACAGATATGACAGTTGGTTTCCCAGGTCTCACCAGTCTAAAAGACAAAGAAAGGGTATAATAAGTGTCAAGTGAAGCAAGTGATATAAAGACAATAATTATTACAATCACACAGCAGCTTTATAGACAGCAGATTAGGTAGAGAAGTGAGGAATTGCTTCACCAACTTAATTTGTGGTTATAATCCCTACTCTAGTGAATGGTACAGTGGGATTTTATTGACCTTGTAGAATGGACCTCAGCCATATCACTCTGCAACTTACAACTGGCAACCCACTGAAGCTAAGCAGGTGTGAGCCTGGTCAGTACCTGGATGGAAGACCTCCTGGGAAAAACTAAGGTTGCTGCTGGAAGAGGTGTTAGTGGGGTCAGCAGGGGGCACTCACCCTGCAGTCTATGTGGGTCCTAATGCCCCAGTATAGTAATGGGATGAGATTTAAAACCGAGGTCCCGACTGTGGTTATAAAATCCCAGGGTGTTTCTTGAAAAGAGTAGGGGTTTAACTGGCCAAATTTCCCATTGGCCCTGCAAAATAATTTAATATGTACTTAATTAAACAGCAATCTCCGTAGGTAGAATATATATGTATGTGTAGAATATGTAAGATGGTGACATAACCCATTGTCAATATGGTTCCAGGTTCCAAATTCCAGGGGATTTTTTGCGGTTAATGTTTTTCTAATGACAAAGTTTATGTGGTGTAAAAAAACAGTTGAATGCTACTGGTCTTGATACTCAAATCAAATCTAAGCTGATACAAGTGATTATTTATAACTTATTGTTTACAGCATTTATCACCTTTAAACACAGATCTCACAACACAATAAAAAAGTTTAGCACTAACCAACTGCACAAGCTTACAACAGAGAATCACAAACCTTGACATTAAGTATTATGGCTGCTCAAAAAGCATCGACAACTAATACTCATTGCACATGTACCTTGAATAACTAAATTGCAAATGGCAACAATTCAATGTTGTCAACCGTTGGTGCCAAACTATGTGTGGCAGTACACAGGGTGTGTTCAGTGTGAAGGTGGAGCCCTGAATTAAGGGAGATGTGTTGCCTTAGCAACCACAGCTGACCTGCCTAATTGTGGATGAGCTGTAGCTGTGAAGGCCTTTTAAGAACACACTGAGCATCCTGGAGGGATGAGCAAACAGGATTCCAGTTCAGAGACTTCCTGCAACGGGGGGAAGAGGAAGAGGAAGAGGAAGAGGAAGAGGAAGAGGACGAGGACGAGGAAGAGGACGAGGAAGAAGAACATTCCAGTGATATTCCCAGAGGGGCTTGTGAAGAGAGCGTTGAAGCTGTGGTTTTGCTTCTTTTTATTTTCTTTTTCTTTTCTCCTGTCCTGCTGTGATGCAGCACTGGGGCAGGTTGAGTTTTATTTTGTTTTTGGCCTTGCTCTTTTTTCTTCCAGGCTGGACCCTGCTAAATAGGGATAATCCAGACTGGACTCAGCTGTTTCAAGCAGTCTCTCTTTTTCCCCTAGACTGGACCTCCCTAGATATAGTCCAGACTGAATACCGCTGTGCAAAGCGGTGTGCTTTTTCTTTTTTTCTTTTTTTTTTGTGCTGACCTCACACTAGTGCCTTCACCCCCTCAAATGGGGTGCTGACTTTTACTGGTGTTTGCCGTGACTCCTCCCACTCCTGCATTGTTACATATGGTTGTTAGAGATAGTGTATATTGAATTGTTTAGTGTCTCTCTGTATCCCTTCTGTCTCCTTTGTGATGTACAATAATTGTGTGCTTTCTCCTACAGTTTATGTGGGGAAAAAAAGCATGTGAAACATTTTGGATATTACCTAAATTAATTTTGAGAGATTTTAACAGTTACACTCCAAAACATAGACTTATTGTTATGCTGCAGCTGCTGATAAACTGTGCTACAGCATATGATGGGTCGAAGCCCAAGCACAGGTTTCAATGCATTGCTAAAGATGTTATAACAGAAGCTATGAATGGCAAGATCAGAAATTATAAAGAGGATTTGATGCAGGCAGGTGTAAGACAGTATGTTAAGATCTGTTACGATCCCTGCCTCTCGGCAACGAAAGAGGCAGAAGAAGGCGTAGCCTTAGTTCATTAGTCCACCTATCAGTGTACGCTTTCATCACCACACCTCTGTCTCATCTGGTATTTAAGCATTAGTCTTTCCCTACCCCCTCGCTCAGTATTGGTTTCCCTTTCGAGCTACTTAGTTGCGCTACGCCTTCTACCTCCTCGTATTATACTGGTTCCGACTTTGGTTTTTCCCCTTTTACTACGTCTTTTGGATTACGGCTCGGCTTTGTTTGCTTTCTCCTAGTTTGGTTCTCTGGCTTCCCCTGGACTCTCGGCTCTCTCCTTCGTCTACGGTTTTGGATTACGGTCTGGCTTTGGGTACTCTCTCCCTGTTTGGATCACTGGGTTCCCCTGGACTCTCGGCTCTCTCCTTCGGCTACGGTATTTGGATCATGACTTGTCTCTATCGGCTCCCGCAAGTGGGGTCACTACTTGGTTTCGGTTTCACTGGCCGAATCCGTAACAGATCTGTCTATACAAACAAAGAGGAAAGATGTTGGCACTGTAAAAAATGGTTCAAAAAAGGAAAAAATGAAAAGGCCAGGAAAAAATATCAAAATGACAAAAAGGGGGAAATAGATTTAGGGAGGATTTCACTGAATTGTTGCGCAGGAAAAAAGAGAATAGAAGGTAGTAGTTTGCTAGCAAGAGATGCGAATGCTCACTCTAGTATTGAGGCTTTAATGACGGAGCAATGATATAGAGGTTCAAGGTGACTTAAATAATGTGATTGAGAACTATATCGCAACCCTAATTGTTGACTGGAGCCTGATAGTTGGTATAATTGAGAAGTGTCCCGAACTAGCTTAAGTGGCAGGTTGAGAGCTCCTGGGCATGTTGCCCCTGGCAATAGGGCATGAGTGGGTCCTGGCTTGGGCATGACACTTATATAGTATTTGTATTGTAGAACTTATTATCCATTGCAAGATCTCTGTTGGGTAGGACTGTTCACAATACAGTGCTTCACAAGCCAATTTATCAATTACTCTTCAGAAGTTAAAAAACAGAGACCACTTAGGTAAATGTCTGTGACAAAGAAATCTCTGAACAATAAGGTTATTTTGACTGTACACAAAGGAACATGTTTAAGAGGAGTTGACTATTATCCCATGTAAATAGAATTACAGATGCAGCCATTCAAAATGCATGGTACAAACCCATACCGCCCGCAACTACCCACAAACCGGTGGCATACCGCGGTATGTGATTGGTTGGCTAAAATGATCGACAGGGGCACTCGTGGTGCATTGGTTGGTAGTGAAAAGATTTAATCATTTAATCTCTTTACTGTGCACATTTTAATCCCCTTAGTATTGAATATTTATATGGAATTTTAGTTGTTGAGCATAAAAAGAAGAGGAGCATAATGCATCTGAAGGTCATAAATGATATTAATTTAGCAACATAAAAATACTGTGTAAACTATATATTGCTGGTATGGATAGTTTAAAGAAAAAAATGCACACTAGTATTCCATTTCTCCCTAAACATTTTAAGCATCAAAGTCTTACATGTGGTTATTTCGGAAATGCTTTTACATGCTCCTTCTCACCATATTCATATTAAGTTTAAGTGCCTGCGGGCACTTTTCCTGTCCGTGGGGGGAAGGGTGGACTGTCTTTCATTAGAAGGTTAGCCTATTCTACTCTGAAAATGTAAAGGGGGTGGAAATTGCACACGGTCATTTAATTAGTATTAAAATTCGCACTGAGTCCTTGTGAAGATATGGACATAAGAATATTCGTGCGTGGTCAAAAAAAATAGTTAAAACGACAAAGTGAAGGCTATGAAAACATTCACAATGTACTTTATACACAAAGTAAGTGTTCTCCCAACTCTAGGAGGTTTCCTGAAAATGCTACACGCGTGCAAAAATCATTTTTGAACTTCAAGCTAACTTTACCCCGGTTTGCATTGTCAGATTGTGAATCAAAAAAGGCATTCAATTAAACACGTGTTTGCAATTTTAATCAAAATGGGGTTAGACCATTAGACATGCAATACACTTCCCCGTGATCATCTTAGAATATATGTGTAAGCTTTAAGTTTTTTTTTTACTTTTTAATTATACACTTTAATTTTGTAACCTGAAGAAGGCTCCACGGCCGAAACGTTGTGTTCTCTTTCTTCTTTTTTTCAGCATGGAATAAACCTATTACTTGTTCCTTAATTTTGTAAAAGCAACACACATTCTGTACAGATACAGTACAATCACATTCTCCTGTTTTCCTGTGGTGTAAAACGAATTAACAGGTGATTGAGGTAACAATGCATTGCCCACTGAGTGGAATGTTCTCAAGTGTAAAAAGAGGTGATAAATATTAATAATTTCATGTTGCATTAATTAACTCTTCAGTTTATTCTGCCAGACAGTACATTAATATAATTATATCATTATTCATTTGTTTAGATACATGATTCCATATTATATTCCCTGTTAGTCAAATTCTAAAAGTATGCTTTTGTTTAAGATGGTAACGAGTGAATTCACAGAAATGGTTAAAAGACTATCACTTTTCACAAAGTATATAATCTTAATATGGTCAGAAGGAGCACATAAAGCGTTTCCAAAATAACCACATATAACACTTTGATGCTTAAAATGTTTAGGGAGAAAGTGGAATACTGGTGTGTATTTTTTCTTTAAAATACCAATACCAGCCATATACAGTTTACATGATAGGTTTATGTTCCTAAATTAATATTGTTTATGAGCATGTGAAAGGCATGGTGAATCGGAGATTCTCAAAACTTGTCAATGAAAAAAGTATTTTTGTTTACAAAGAGAGTTACAAAGTAGGTGGACCAGGGTAATACTTTGATCTTACAGCTTGTCCAGGTCATTCATTATTAATACGGTTACTAATATCTTTGGTAAATACATTGATGCATAAAATATTTCTACATAATTAAAATATTTATGAGAAGGGTGGTAGGTTGTGTACTTTTGTCCAACTGAGTAATCTTGCTTTTCTAAAATATACCAACTTTTTAATGTTTAATGATTAACATGCTGTAATACACAGTTTAAAATTAAAAGTATAAAGAGTATACAGCTTAAATTCTTAATTGGATAAAGATTGTCCCTCAGCAGTGATATACGTGAGAGGTTAAACTTTATTAGCTCCACCTGGTGGTTTTACAAGGTGATTCCAGATACTATTAACATAATCTAATTTGCATACGATACAGCGTGGTATGACGCGAAAGGACGCGTTTATTTGTGACACGCCCACCGCCTTATAACGCAGCATACCCTGCTCGTTTTGAATGGCTGCATCTGTAGGAAATTGTTTGATCCCTCTGCAATTTCATTTTAGAATCATGTGAAATATTTTTGTACATGCCTA